GCAAGCTAACATTACTGCTGTAGGTCGCTGCCTGGCACAGGACGCTGGCAGCCATAGCCAGGCTGACCAAGGGCGCAGAGAAGGTGGTTCTTGAGAGGTGAAGGGCGTCGTGTGGGTTATCAAGGGAGAGTGTGGGTAAAGAGGCGAGACGTGCCTGGATGGAGAGGGGGTTGGCATTGGTGTGAACATCTTCACTCGCTGGTCGTCAAGTTGTCTGATTGCTTCCATGTTGTAGTGTAGGATTAGGCTAGAGAGCAGAATAGGGCGCGAGGCGCCATTCAAGAGTGAGAGCTGCATTCGGTTATGTTGTTGGTGTTGCCCGATTGGGCTTGGGCGTTGACTCACGATTCCGCTGTGTCACTCTCAAAAGGATGGTTGCTCGGTTCCATTGTGACAACTGCTCTGGCTTTGATTATTTGGACTTCAATGTGATTTGCAATTTGGACTTCCATGTTTCGCCCAGTTTCATGTTTTTGCATTTTACTATCATTATTTTTATTATTGTCATTATTATTATTATTAGTAGTAGTAGTAGTAGTAGTAGTAGTACTATTGTGTAATCAGACTCTTCTCAGTCACACTTTCATGCATGTAAACAGCGGCATGAGAAACTGGGGACACTGAGCCCGCACCACTCTCTGTTCGCATACACAGGCTCGCCCTGGGTACAACACGCACACAACACTCTGCATACTTGTACAGACACACTACGTCTACACGGAGTCAAGGCCAACAGGCGGACAGACCAACAACCAGCGAAGGAACAGACTAGACGGACAGACAGGACAGACAGGCGGTTTTGGACAACAAACTGACAAACAGACAGAATACACAGGCAAGGCGCACGGATTGAACGAACACTGATGCATTGACTCAACGAAGAGAGATACTGAAGGGAAGAAAAGGAAAGAAGGGAAAATAAAGGAGGGAGAGTGGGGATGAAGCGAGGGAGGCGGGAAGCGCAACCGGAGGAGGATCTAATAATAGGCACCTCTGCCTTCCCGTTCATCCGATGGTTTTCTTTCAAAGTCGTTCAGAAAACGTTGATAGAATATCGCCACTATTATTATTATTGTTATAATTATTTTTATTTTGATATGTTCTTTGTTGTTATTGTTTGCTTACCGTCCTTGTTATTTTGTACTGCTATTATTAGAACATTGTGGGGACGGGGAGAGTCAGACATGAAAGAATGCGAGACATTGGAGAGGGGGTAGACAATCTCACGTATGATGGTGCCTACCTTCTCTGTCCTCGTCCGTCCTTATCTCTGTTCGATCTTCTCAGGCATCTGCCTTTCAATTATGAGTGTCTAATGGTGTATTTTCATTGATAATGATCCCGGTTTTGCTAACTTTAAAGGTCAGACAATCAGTTGTGTAAATTGGACATGATCAATAGAACAGGGCAATTGCGAGAGCTCTGCCAGAGTTCAGGCGGAACTCTGGAGGCAGGGAACAATGAGGTACGTACGCTTTGACGTAAAACCCTAAAACCCTAAACCCTAAATCTGTAACTCTTAGGCAAATACCTATGATTACGTTAGCAAGAAAGAGTACGTTAAGTCGGGGGTCCTTCGGGCTAAGACCTGAGGGCAGGAAGACAATTAGTAATGCTTGGATAAAGGGGAAGAAGCATGATCTGTCAAGGGGATGTCTACATGACATTGGCAAAGACAAGAAATGACCGGGTCGCTGTCTCACTATGTGAATGTTTATGATGGGCGGAAGAGGGATGTACATCCAACAATACTCCTCGCTTAAAAGGTCATCTGACCAGGAGAGTAAAGAGTTGGGGGATCATGAGAATGTGGTCGAGCTGTGAGTGACAAAACCTTGTGGTATGATGGATTGCCTCAACTAATCTTAACCAATAACTAACCCCGACCTATGCGCAAGAGGGATTAAGACTAACTCAGCTTTGAATCAACCAGATGGATTTAGGACATGAGGTACAAGTCCCGTGCGACCCTCCTACGTGATCGTAAAGGCTTTCCGGATGGTTCAAGTGCTGGGGCAGGCGTCAATCTACATCTATCTCTATATATGTATACTAGGCAATCGAGAGGAGCGAGGATCTATGAAGCCTGCGTCATCGCCATATCTATATATGTATACTAGGCGATCGAGAGGAGCGAGGCTCTATAAAGTCTGCCTCATCGATGTATATCTGTCTATATATACATATACTAGGCGATCGAGAGGAGCGAGGCTCTATGAAGTCTGCCTCATTGCCGTATATCTATCTATATATACATATATTAGGCGATCAAGAGGAGTGAGGCTCTATGAAGCCTGTCTCATCGCCATATCTATATACATATATTAGGCGATCGAGAGGAGTGAGGCTCTATGAAGCCTGCCGCATCGCCATATATCAATATTTATATATGTATACTAGGCGATCGAGAGGAGCGAGGCTCTATGAAGCCTGCCTCATC